GCTCCTGGGGCTCCTGAGGGCCCCGGCGGGGGCCACGGAGGGTAAGTGGGGCCCTCGGAACCGGGAGCTCCTGGACCGCCACTTCCGGGCACGGGAGCCCCCCTGAACCCCCATTCCTGTGCACTGGGTCCCCCTTGAATCCCCTTATCCAGCACCGGGACCACCTGAAGCCCCCGTTCCTGTGCGCAGGGACCCCCCGTGCACCCCCTCATTCGGCACCGGGACCCACCTGCACCTCTTTTCCTTGATCTTGAGACCCCCTGGATCCCCGTTCCCTCCTTTCCCAGCCCCCAGCCCTTCTTTTCCGCAGCACCACGGACCTCCAGGACCCCCATTCCGGGCCACTCTGGGTCTCCCCACCCCGTGACCCCCCTTTCCTCGACACTGGGAGCAGCAGGACTCCCCTTTCCTTGGCAGAGGGACCCCCTGGACCACCCATCCCCCCTCTCCGAGCCCCTGCCCCCCCTTTCCTTAACTCTGAGACCCCTTGAAATCCCCCTTCCCCAGCACCAGCGCCCCCCTGGGCCCCCCTATCCTGCACCAATATGGCCCTGCACCCCTTTTCCCAGCCATCTCACCTCTCCTAGACACCTTTTGCTTGACCCTAAGACTCCCTGAGCCCCATTCCTGCCTTCCCCAGCCCCTAAACCCCCATTTCTTCTACACGGAAAACTCCTGGGCCCCCCATTCCCGGCCATCCTGGGTCTCTCCATCCCATGACCCCCCTTTTCCTCGATACTGGGACCCCCTGGACCCCCATTCCTGCCTTTCCCGGCTCTCAGACCCCACTTTCCTCAACATTGGGGACCACTGTACCCCCCTTTCCTGGGCACAGGACCCCCTGAACCTCCATCCTGCCTCTCCCAGTGCCCAACAGAAGCATGGAGAGGGTCCCAGTCCCAGATAAAGGGGTTCAGGGGGATCTGGGTGTTGAATAAGGGGGTGCAGGAGGGTTCCCATGCCCAGGAATGGAGGTTTGGGGGGTCCCAGGGTCAAGGAAAGGGGGTGAGGGCACTGGGACCCCCTTCCCCGGGTGCAGGGACCCTCCTACACCCCCTTATGTGGCAGCAAACCCCCCCTGAACCTCCATTCCTGTGCACTGGGATCCCCCTACTCCTCCTTATCCTGCACCAGTACCCCCCTGGCCATCCAGCCTCTCCCAGACTCCAAACACCTCCTTTTCCTTGACCCTGGGACCCCCTGGAGCCCCATTCCTGCCTTTTCCAGCCCCAAGCCTCCCTTTTCCAGAACACAGGGGACCCCTGTGACCCCCCATTCCCTGCCATCCTGGGTTTCTCCACCCCATGACCCGCCTTTCCCCAGCACTGGGGCCCCTTGGAGCCCCCTTTTCTGGGCATAGGGACCCCCTGGAACCCCCTATCCCACCTCTCCCTATCCCTGCATCCCTCTTTCCTTGATGCTGAAACTCCCAAGCCCCTTTCTGGCTCTCCCAGCTCTCCCAGTTCCCCCTTTCCTTTACCCATGAGCCCCCCTGGCCCCCAGACCCCTCAGATCTCCATGTCCCCCCAGTTCTCCACTCCCTGCGTTATGTGCGAGTGGTGGTGTCAGAGCCTGGCCCGGGGCTCCCACAATACGTGGTCGTGGCGTTTGTGGACGGGATCCCTTTCACACACTACAACAGCGAGTGGGGCCGGCTGGAGCCGCAGACTCTGTGGATGGCGGCCGGAGCTGAGCCGGGATATTGGGATACCGAGAACCGGATCAACAAGGTGTACCAGCACAAGGACCCCGACGACCTGAAGACGCTGCAGATCCAGTACAACTAGAGCAGGGGTGAGTGGGGGGAGCTGGGGAAGGGGGTGTCTGTGGGACTAGGATCTGTGGGGCCGGGATGGGGATCCATGGGGCTCCAAGGGACTGGGATGGGATCTGTGGATCTTCATTAGACTATGGGACTCCGTAGGGCTGCAATGGGGCCCTGTGGGGCTGGGACACACTTCCATGGGTCGCTGTGGATCCAATTCCACCCCGCAGGTCTCCACACGCTGCAGAAGGATTCCGGCTGTGAGCTCCTGTCCGACGGGAGCGTCCGTGGATCCCATCGGGAAGGCTACGACGGGCGGGATTTCATCTCCTTTGAACTGGGATCCAAGAGCTTCGTGGCGGCCGATGGCGCTGCCCAGATCACCAAGAGGAAATGGGAATCTGACGGGACCATGGTGGAGGAGTTGACAAATCTCTTGGAGCACACCTGCCTGGAAGTGCTCCGGAAACACGTCTGGTACGGGCAGGAGGCGCTGGAGCGAAAAGGTGGGGGCAGAATTCCCATGGGAATGGGAAACTTGGGAATATGGGATTTGGGAAGGTGGAATTTGAGAACACAGGAATTCCCATGGGAATTCTAGGGATGCATCTTACTGCTGTCCCATTCCCTTGGGAATTCCATGGATGGATCTCACCATTGTCCTGTTCCAGAGCCTCCTGATGTCCATGTCTCTGGAAAAGTGGAACACGGGATCCTGACGTTGTCCTGCCGTGTGTATGGATTCTACCCTGGGATCATCGGGATCAACTGGCTGAAGGGGGATGAAATCCGGGATCAGGAGACGGAGTGGGGCGGGATCGTTCCCAACAGCGACGGCACCTTCCACAGCTGGGCCAGGATCGAGGCGCTGCCGGGGCAGCGGGAGCAGTACCGGTGCCGGGTGGAGCACGCCGGAATGCCGGAGCCCGGGATCTTCGTCTGGGGTGAGGCTGGGAATGAGGAATGTGGGAATTGGGAAATGAGGAATTTGGGGATGTGGCGCGGTGGGATGGGGGTTCTGGTTTCCCCTCCCACTCCTGATCCTGCACTTCCCAGAGCCAGAATCCGGATGGAATTCCACCCCGGTGCTGGTCGCTGTGTCCGTCATCGCTGCCATCATCATCATCATCATCATTGGCCTCATCCTCATGAGATTTGGCGTCTGGAAGCTCCGATCCAGGGATGCTGTGCCGCGGGTCCTGATCCCACTTTATTTCCATAGGGAAGAGGGACAGGAAGGGACATAACATGGCAACTGGTGAGTTGCAATGGTGGATCCAGCTTTGGATCCCCTCCGTGTGGATCCCAGGATGGATCCTGGGGTTCATCCTGGTGTGTGATCTGTGATGGAATCTCATGGATCTTCTCTTACTGCAGGAATAGACATGTGAACCAACAGCTTGGCCACAGGTATGGAGTGGGATCAAGGTGGGATTCCAGAGGGGGATCTGGGCAGGGTGAATGGAGTGGGACCAGGGAGGGTTTCAGGATCAGGGCAGGATTCCAAATTGCTATCAGGTGGAATTGTGGAACAGGATCCGGGCTGGATTTTGGAGCAGGATCAGGTGGGATGGATGGAGAGGGATTGGTGTGGGATGGATGGAGAGGGATCAGGTGGAATTCTTGACCAGCTCCTGCTCTCCATGGGCTCCATCCGGCAGGGTGGGGACAGGGACAGGGTGCCACCATGACCCACTCTCATCCCAGCAGGAATCACCGCCTGAGTGATCCATGGAGACAGAGCAAGGAAAATCTGAGAGCTACCGGCTGAGCTCATCCCACTGCTCCCACCCACCCCAACCCTGCCATGACTCTTCTGAATGGATCATCTTCCCATTTTCCCCTGTTTGAAAGCCAGGAATGACAGCTATTTCAATGCTTTCATTTTGGTGTGAAAATATCCTTCCCCCATGTCCAGCAGAGCAAATTCCAGCAGCTCCAGGACGGACTCACCAC